GAGAGATAATATGGTGCATAATCACTGGGACCAGCTGCTTGAGGAGACAAGATTACATGCACTAGGCCAGTAACATGTTTTTCGTTTTGTTTTGACTGCTTAGTATCAAAGTTAAGTTGGTCTCACTAAACTTTTCTTGCCCACAGGGGATGTATGGAGTACTGTGGGTTATTTATGCTTGTACATTTAACATTGTAAGTGAGCTAGAGAAATGTGGTCTATATAAAATTACCGTAAGGCAGTTGCACAACTGATTGAAAGACTGTACCCAAAGAGTAATCCAGGTTCACTGTCAAACTGGGAGGATATATCAAGTGCGGTCTCATAGGGGTCTGTGTTGGGTCCAATACTATTCCATTTCATTAACAGCTTGGATGATGGAATGGAGAGTATGCTTATAAAAGCTGCATACAACCACCACGCTGGGAGTGGTCACAAGCACTTTGGAAGACAGGATTAGAATTCAGAGTGACCTTGATAAATTGGAGCATTGGTCTGAAATCAACAAGATGAAATTCAATAAAGACAAGTGCTAAGTAATGCACTTACGAAAGAAAAATCAAATGCACAACTACAAAATGGGGAATAATTATCCAGGCAGAGGTACTGCAGAAGAGGATCTGGAGGTTATTGTTAGCTTATATTTGTAATTGACTATGTGATGTGCAAAACACAAATGGCACATCTATTAACAGGAGCGTTAGATGCAAGACACGGAAGGCAATCATTCTGCTCCACTCGGCACTGGAGAGGCCTGAGCTGGAGTAGTGTGTCCAATTTTGGGCAGCACACATTAAGAAAGATGAGAACAAATTGGAGCGAGAGTCTAGATGAGAGCAATGAAAATAAGAGGTTTGGAAAACGTGATTTATAAAGATTGAAAGAATTAGGCATGTTTAGTCTAAAGAGAAGAAGACTGAGGGAGACATTATAAGTCTTCAAATCTTATTATCTATGTCTGCTCAGTGTAGGACAAATAGCGATTGGCTCCATTTGCAGCACAAGATTGAGATTAGACATAAGAGAGGGTCAAACGTGATTGCTAAATTTTCCATGCTCTCCGCACTTCCTTCTCTGATCACCCCTAGACCAAGCTGCTCTCGATTAGGCTTAGCCGTAAATTTATGGAGAAAACAGCATCAGCAGCAATGTTAAAAACTAAACACGATTTGGACAGAGTTGTGCTTCACAACAGTCTGCTCGTATGGTTTCCTAATCCATTGTAGACAGATTTATAACTAGGTAGCATTAACAGGGCCATGAAAACAGTCCTGAACACATTCCTTTTCCAAACTACCCACTGCTGCAAGCATCACATTCATACCTTTAGGTCCAAGAATTAGCCAGTCTGTTTTATTTTTAAAGAACATTCTAAATATGCTAGAGCACTTTAAGCTGGAAAAAGCTTTAGCACAGCTGCTTTTCCTGATGGTTTTACCTAAAGACCCAAACAAGAGTTGCAGCACTGTTGTACCTACTACAAAGGGGAAGTAAGATCAGTACAAAGGCTGTCAGTAGAAGGTTTCATGGTAAAAATAAAACAAGTGATCTCATCTGAGTGGGAAAAAGGAAAAGCAGAGAAATGGTTGGGCGAGAGAAAGGAAAGAGTAGTTTCCATTACCAGTTACATTTGCCCTTTATCAAGGCTGCATTGCTAGTCTGAAAATGTTTGGAATATCACATCCTTCCTTCCTTCCTTGCAATGGAGGACAGGGGTAATGAAATTGTACAAGGCAGTAACGTGGATCCAGGTTTGAAACTCCCTCTACCCCGGCCCAATGTCGTAGGACAAGAATGCTGCCTTTCTCCATTTCAGTTAGAATGAAGTCCTTTCCTACAGGCACTGAAATTAATATTGTTCTAGATCAGTGTGCTGAACATTTCCATCTCTTTTTACAAAGCCCACCTACACTGCTCTTTCCTGTCTCCATCTGCAGGCCTTCCTTTGGCATGGTCTCTGGTATGTCATCTTCAGTCAAGTTGGCTGGCAGGCTCTTCACGACAAGGGCTTTCTACTTGCAAAACACATTTTCCTAAGGTTCTGCCACTGTGTTGGCTGGTAGAAAACGCTACAGTTAAATTTACCAATTGGTTTCCATGCATTTTCACTTGTTCCTAACTTTGAAAAGAGTCCTCTTCTGAACTGAAGCTTTCCAGGGAATTATTTATTAAGTATGGAGGCAGTCCCCATCAGCCATTTTTGAATCAAGACTTGAGGAGAGTGGGCGGAAGAGAAGATAGATGCACTGTTCCCACCCAACTGCTTCAAGATGCAGATAGCTCACCGATGCTGGACTTTTGATAGTTCAAGCTTAACATGCAGGTGGGTCCCTCAGGTGAGAAGCAAGACCTTTGCTGGGTTTAATACCGACAGTTATGGGTATTTGAAAATGCCATTTGGGCACAGGCAAGAGCAACGTCTAATTGTACAAATGCATAATGTGCTTGTTAGGTTTGTCTGTAAGTGCTCAGATGACGACCAACAGTGACAGGGGAGTGTCAGCAGGTGCCTGGTCCCCGTGAGCAGATCTGAAGACATTTTTGCTTGTTTCCTTGGGTGGGGGAAAAAAAAATGGTATGAGCTAAAGGATGAAAAAAGTTAATGTCCCACTGAGAGTGCATGTTAAAGCAAAAAGTCAGGGAATGTAAAAAGATACATGAAGAAAAGTAGGCTCCAAAACACTGAACAGCCCATTAGTATACACACTTAGCAACAGTAAGCTAGACACTTACACAATCTGGCCAAATTGTATCATGTTTCAAGGTGTGTGTATTTAACAATGTGGGGAAGTTAGCAGACCTTTCACATTTCACTTTAGCAGTGCAACCTTAGTATTCATCAACCTAGCAAAGGCCGCAAACAAAAAAACAAACTGCCAACGAGGAAGCACTTGTGGATTTCAGAAGCCCATTTCCTTACTACATATAGGTTAGCAGTCCCGGGCAACTATGTGATCCCTTCTTCGGGGACTATCATAATATTGCACAGAGACATTGTCTACATAGGCAGAAAAATTACTGGTTTCTCTAGGATGCAGCTGCTGCTTTTGGAGTCACGTACTCTGCTTGTAATGAATGGCAGAACCTAGAATGACCTTTCTAGCGGTCCCAATTGCATTCAGCAGTCAAATACAGTGTGAAGCTTGGGGGTATATTTGTCTTGTGGATCTACTTTCTGTGCTCTGCAACATTATTTATTCTTCTTACGGAGTCTTAAGTTGTTCCATTAATATTTTCCCCACATGCTATGGGATTTTCATGGCTGACATCAAGCAGACTGGGCTTTTAGGTAAGCACTGCCTTTTATTTCTCTAAACACTCCAGCGTTCGTCTAGCTTGTTGTCCTAGAGTTACACTCAGTCCATGACATAGCTGAGGCCATGTGTATTTTGGATGCCTGGTTGAACTGGATTTCTCCTACTTTATCAATGAGTCTACAAGACTCATTAGCAGGGTTTATTTTTGAAGGTATGTCATTTCTTTCTTGGATAAGTTCAAACCTGATTTTAACAACAAGAACTCTTCTCCTTTAACCTTTCCATCCATATCAACTTGTACTTTTTTTTTTTTTTTTTTAAATTCCCCTCTCCCTGCCATTTACAACTTACTAAGCTAGTCGGAAATAACAAAAGATATTGTTCACTTAGTCAGGCAGGAGATTCCAAATCAGTCTGAACAAGTTAAAAGGCAAAGAGATCAGCTTAATGTGGCTAGCTCTTGTCATGGTAAACACCATATTCTGAATACAAACTATGCAATATGAATCAATATTCTGGATTCCTTTCCCTTTGTTTTATTAAAAATATGGGTTGCGGTCTTTTGAAATGGGGAGAACCGTTTAATGATCTTAATTAAAGGGCCATAGGAGGAGGGTCACAGCTCTTAATGACTAGCCCTAGGGGTATTTTGCATGACTCAGATATTCTAAATTCAGGATCTTGACTGTATTTCTGACCATGGGTAAGATACTAGGAACAAAAGTCTTATAATGAAAACAGACAACCTTCCTTAAAGATCCTCAAGAGATGCACTCCATGATTTTGAGAGACATGAGGCAGCATTTAAGTGTACATCCAGTTACTGTTATCACAAGGTGTATGTAAAGATAAGCCCTTTATTATCTTATACCATAGTGAAGGTTTGCTGCTGGTGGATTTGTCTCGTTGATATTTTTCTGGCAGGGTCTGACAGCAAACTTGTATCTTTCAGAGTGGGGTGGCAGATGAGGGACAACGATTTCTGTGAAGGGCGGGAGGAAGGGAATTCTTTGCTTGTAGCCAAGTATAGCCTTGCCAGCTGAAATCCATTTTCCTTCACATTCTGCCTGGATGGCCAGATTCCAAAGTATACTTCTATTGCGAGATAGAAGCTTGTAGATACTTAAGATGATCTCTTCTTCAGTCCCTTCTTCAAAACACAACCATTGTAGATGCAATTGCTTGAAGTTGGTTTGGTTCCTACTTTATAATATTAACCAAATATTTACCAGGTCCTTTGTCATACAAGCCACCTACTATTGGCATATAATTGGTACTTTATCTCCATTTTTTTTAAGCCTACTTGACTGTAGGTGTTGCAGTCATCTTGATCCATCTGCTTTGTGTTCATGAAAAAAGTGATGTGCTTTGTCCAAAATTGTTTTTTAAAGCTTGATAGTCAACTTTTTACAGCACAGCCATTTATGAATGAAATGGGGGAAGATATTAATTTTGATAAGTGAGGTTTTGGATAAGCAGGGGACTTCCTAATGCATTTAATACACGTCCAAAGACGCGACCTTACATTGGAAATGTTGGGAAGTACACAAATTCAGCAGCTATTTCCACGATCTGTGACTGAAGGGGAAAAGAATTTATGGTTAATGTTGCTGTGCTATTTGCACTCAGTTCTTACCGGCTCAATCACAATGATCTACTGAAACATTAGTATTTTTCTGTTTGTACCAGTCAATCAGAGGAACCAACACTTCTTGCTAAAGACTCCTCAGTCAGATTATGCACTTATTAAAAATTAATAAATGGTTTATTTTATATATATACACGTGTTCCAAAAATTCTTTTTGTACAATTAAAATATCAAATTAGTGATCTGGTAACAATACTGTTCAAAATAATCTCTTTTGTATGAACATTAAAATACACGTTTTAAAAGCGTTTCCTTTTAGTGCTTCCAAAGCACAGCGTGTGCCAAGGCCACCTGAAGAATCTCCGTCCTCCTCACAGGATGAAAGAGAACTGAAGTCGGGGACCTGGGAAGCCTCAGGTGCACTTTCATAATGTCTGTAGACAAAACAGAAGAGAGTCTGAGGTAGATTGTTTAGTGACCATCAGGTGGTAACAGTCACAGGGCTGTCTTTAGCTTTCATTAACACAGAATAGCAGTTTCTTTACTCTGATTCAATCTACACTGAAACTCAAGTTTATAGGCATGGCTATCAGTTCCTGGGAACACGACCCTTGTCTCTGTGGTGGCAACATGCAATATTACCACGTGGGTGTTTTTGGGAGGTTTTTGAACACACAGGATCTTTCCAAAGAATGCAGACAGTGTGCGTGTTTGACAGGCCCCATTTTTAATGCAACCTGCTGCCTACAGCACGTAAATGTCTATAATGACAATGTTCAAATGAGTAAATTCTCATCACCTGCAGGAGGGGCAGCAATGGCTATTTTCTTCAGCCTGTTGAGCGAATAGCACCCTCCACAGGAAAAAAGCCACACCTTTCATAGCAAATCCTTAAGGTTATAGCCCAGCTTCTGCCGACAGAGGTTCTTAAAGTTAAAGCTCCACTGCTTCTTCTCAGACTCTGACAGTAAAATCACTTGACTGCCAAGATGGTGAGGGCATCAGCCACGTCTTCCTTCATTCTTCTGTGGCACAGCAAACTCATCCCTGATCCGTGTGTCTTTTGCCGGTACACTGTTATCTACTGTGGACATGATTAACTCTGTTGGGTAGACTGCTGAACTCTATTTCCTCTAGTATTCTCTCTAAGTGTTGTATTAAGACCCGTTTTTTAAACCTAAGAAAGAGAGGGGGAGTAATTTAATTTTGGTTCAGCTCATATTAATTTTTTCCTTCCAAAATACAGTGACTTTCATATTAGTCACCCATTCAACATACAAATCACATTTCCAGAGCATCTCTGCATCTTCAGTCAGACATCTATTTTATATTTCTGACCTCATTATAGTACTTTAAATTAGAGATGGGCTCAAACTCAAACCCTGTTTCTTCAAGGACCCATTTCTACATTTTAAAAATCTACAGCACTACAGAGCTATGGTAAAATCAAGACAATCAATATTTTTTATGGAGTTACTTATTTTCTAAAAACAAAGTTCATTAAACGACCAATATTTTGGAATAGAAAAAAACAAGGTAATATTCTTGGAAAAGTTTTGATTTTACTGCCATGTTCAATAAAAAAAATTAATCTGGGTTTTATATTCTATACAAACCTTGCTGCTTCCTTGATAGCAAATTCAATGAAATATTTCTGAACTTCCATAGGTCCTTGCACTTCCTCAAGAAGAGTGAAGATTTTTTCATAATCTAAAATAATCCAAACAGTTGTGTCAATCAAGAGTGCAGATTTAAGAAACTAATCTTTCAAATGTGACTTCAATAAAGATCATCATCCAAGAGAAGAAATGAGACTCATAACTTCGCACTTCTGCTATGTCTGAAAATATATGCAAGACTAAAGACAGAACAGTATTTTGTGTGCAGAAAGCGTTTGATAGCAAAAATTTAAAAGCTACTGAAGTACTGGTTGACTTGTAGTGCTGCACCTGAGAAGCTGACTTCCACTGGCTGTCACTGGGAAAAGTAGGATCCTGCAGTAAACTGGCCTGTTCTCACTTTATACACCACAAACTGTGCACATATGCCCAACTGCCAATGAGCTTCAACGCTAAATTGGAAAGGCCATCTCTGGGAGCACGTTTAAGATTAGACTTGTGCAGGCGAGTTAAGATTCTTCCTTCAGAAGGTTCTCCATTTATGAAGCATTTGCCATGTAACCAAAATTTATGAAAGCTATTTTAGCCATTGCATGAAGATCACATGGCAGAACTGTGTAGCAGCTAGATTAGATCAGAAGTGAAACCAAAGACATCTTCCCTACTATTTAGCCATATTACAAAGCTACATATTTTGGCATGATTAACAGATCCAGAACTAGAACAGCAGAGGAATTACAAGTTGGGACCAGGGTGCATTGGCAGAGTCACAAGTAAACAGGCTTCTACAGCCTACCAACCTGACCCATGATTGGTTTAAGCCATTGCTACTGGTCTTTTCACTTTCATGAGTACTTCATGAGCTCTAAGGTAAGAAGTTTTGGCAGAAGATTCATCATATATTAATATATGGTTTTAATCTAAGTCACCATTTACCGTGTGTAGCTTTGGTAACAGTATGATTAGACTGGCATCTTCTACCAAACAGGAAGCAAAGAAAACCCTGACTCAGCTACTCAGGTTCAATTTATTTTATATGTTAAAGAGGGACTGAAATGCTTTTAAAAGCAAAAGGTTGCTTAAGATCTTACATCATTAACAGAATAAACATGTGTAACTTTTTGTGTGGCAGAAACCTCAATTTGCATAAGTGACAAAAAGACCCATTGAAAAATCCTCAGTTTGAGGAATTAGTAAGCAAACAATTACCAGAACCCAAGAATACTGCATTAAAGAGTCCTCTGTTATTTTAAATTACTGTATTTATCATAATTCACAACATATTAGTAAAAGGTTCTGCCGCATAATTTGGAGAGGTAATTCATTCTTAGTCAACTACAGCAGCATCCTGCTATTCAATCTTTGAAAAGTGGGAAGAGTACAAGTGTGTGAGAATCATAAGATATGCAGATCAGTGAAGTTCTATTGTTAACTTCAAACATACTATTCAAGTGCTTTTACCTCCAAGACGTAAGCTCTGGAGCTGTTTTTGTCCTGCAAGGACAGCATAACCACAATCATCAAAAGAGGAGAGAGTTGCTTTTCCTCATAGGATTTTGGTGTTGGGGATATCACTAAATTTTTCATGGAAGCAGAACTATGAACTCAGCTCCTAGTAGATTTGTAAGATTCAAATCACTTCTTTTTAAGTCTATCCTTGTACTCCATTAATGATCTTAAAGTCTTTTCATGTTTAATTAAAAAAAAACAAAACATTTCACTTCACCATCAACTGTAGGGTTCCAATTATGGAACATTCCAAAACATGTGCTAGTTACATATGCCTTCCCCTTCGGGACAAAAGATTGAAGGATATGGGACATATTGCAGCAAAAGTGCATCATGCATACACAAATGTAGCACAGCACAACAAAATGTCAGACTTCATATGTTCAAATAACTCAGTCCATTTTTCTTGAAGTATGTCTTAGATGTGGAATTATGTAGTTTCAAAAATGTAATTAGTGCTAGATAAAATGGCGTGCTTTAAAGGTGCTGCACCTTAAGTGTTCTGCTCCCATTAAATTCCATTCAACGTCCAACAATGTTAGGAAGTGTTTTCTCCACCACTACCACCCTTACGCCCTAATTCATTTATTCAACAGTCCAAGAAAGCCCTCCCAAAAATCACCGTTTATGCAGCAATTCCAAATCTAAGGGTATAAAACTGTATGTACTCTAAAGTAATGAATTCTATTTTTTAAGTAGACCATACCAAGATAGACATTTGAAACTTACTTCTTCCAGGTTTGCGAACCTCCTTCATCACTTTTATTTTGACATCAGCATTGTTTCCTTCCAACATAGTATGTGTTATTTGCAATGAGTTTGGCACAGTCCCAGAAGTGGACTCCACTACCATTTTTTGGTCATCAACAGGCATGCTGTAATTTAGAGGTCCTCTAACAAGTGCATTGGTGGCAGATTTATGATCAAGTCCATCTTCACTTAAGCAATTGAATTCATCAGGCAAAGAGTCCAAGTCATTTGGTAGCAGATCATCTACCATAGCAGCAGGGATTGATGGAACCATTTGTGTAGACAATCCGTCAATTTGTTTGTCTAGTGACTGACAATTTTCGGCCTTCTTCCCTCCATTAGCATCTTGAACTACACTGCTGTTGGCATCTGTAAGTTAAATTATGCATCATAATCAGTTCATAATTAGCATTAAAAGCACCTACAGGAGATAGCATTTAAAACAAGAAATGGAAAGGATCTCTTTGGTCATCTAGTCTTATTTCCTTCACAGTGCAGCACTGTCCCAACATTGTCCTTTAAAAGGCTAGGAGTTTGTCTACATGTTAGGGTGAGGAAAACACGGTGTGAATGTACAGCACCCTGGCCAGCTGTGTGGACCCTGTGACTTATTCAGTAAAAGTTCTGTAGTGCACTTTGATGTACTCCCTTAAGTAGCTGTGTAGACAAGCCCTAACTCAAAAGCAGTGGTTCCCGAACTGTGGGAAGTGACCCCCTGGGGGGGGCGCAGAGGAATATGGAGCGGGGGGGGGGGGGAGCATGGTGCGGCCCAGGCCAGCCCTCACAGGGGCGGGGAGGGAGCACCACGCAGCCCCACTCTGCCACCAGCTTTGCTCTGGCCCCAGATCCCAGCTCTGCTCCCAGCTGCGGCTCGGGGCACAAGGAAGGGGTGGAGGCATGTGGACGGGGTGGGCGGAGTAAGGTAAAAAGCTTGGGGATCACTGCTCTGAAGTGATGGAATTTCCAGGACTCCCCTTGGGAGACTATTCTACCATTTTACTCATCTCATGGGTTCAGAGATTCCAAGGCCAGAAGGCCACGTAATCATCTAGTCCAGGTGGCACCAACTCTTGGGGGGGGGGGGGAGGAAGAGAGATGATGTTTAGGTTGGATATTAGGAAAAACTTTTTCACTAGGAGGGTGGCGAAATACTGGAATGCATTACTTAGGGAGGTGGTGGAATCTCCTTCCTTAGATATTTTTAAGGTCAGGCTTGACAAAGCCCTGGCTGGGATGATTTAGTTGGGGATTGGTCCTGATTTGAGCAGGGGGCTAGACTAGATGACCTCCTGAGGTCCCTTCCAACCCTGATATTCTATAATTCTATGACGTTTGATAAATAGTTAATTACTCTCACCATTAAAAAAGTACATCTTATTTCCAGTCTGAATTTGTCTAGCTTCAACTTCCAGCGACTGGATTGTGTTAGACCTTTCTCTGCTAGAGTGAAGTGCCCATTGTTACATACTGAAGTGCCAATCGATACAGACTGAAATCAAGTCACCCCTTAATTGGGTTAAGCAAAATAGATTGAGCTCTTTGAGTCAATCTAAAGGCAGGTTCTCTCATCCTTTAAATCACTCTCATGGCTCTTCTCTGAGCCCTCTCCAGTTTATCAACATCCTACTTGAATTGTGGGTACCAGAATTGGACACAATATTCCAGCAATGGTTGTACCAGTGCCAAATAGAGAAAATAATCTCTATTCCTTGCTCTCAAGAAGTGCCTCCGCCACTCCTTCAAGACTGTAAGCTCTTTGAGGCAGGGACCATTTTTGGTTCTGTATTTGTACAGCACCTAGCACAGGGGTGGGCAAACTACGGCCCACAGGCCGTGTCCGGCCTGTCAGGCCTTTTAATCTGGCCCTTGAGCTCCAGCTGGGGAGCGGAGTCAGGGGTTTGTCCTGCTCCGGTGCTCCAGACAGGGAGTGGGGTCGGGAGCTTGCCGTGTGGCTCCCGGAAGCAGTGGCATGTCCCCCTTCCAGCTCCTACGGGTAGGGGCAGCCAGGGGTTTTCCGCACATTGCCCCCGCCCCAAGCGCTGCCCCCCGCAGTTCCCATTGGCTGGGAACCGTGGCCAATGGAAGCTATATGGGTGGCACCTGCATACGGGGCAGCGCACAGAGCTGCACAGCTCATGCAGTGCCTCCACGTAGGAGCCATAAGGGGGCATGCCACTGCTTCTGGGAGCTTTGGGAGTGGCGCCTGCAGACGGGGCAGCACAGAGAGCCACCTAGCCATGCCTCTGCATAGGAGGCAGAGGGGGGACATGCTGCTGCTTCTGGGAGCTGCTTGAGGTAAGTGCCGCCAGGAGCCTGAGCCCCTTGCACGCCCCCAACCCCCTGCCCCAGGCCTGATCCCCCTCCCGCCCTCTGAATCCCTCAGTCCCAGCCCAGAGCACCCTCCTATACCCCAAACCCCTCATATCTCCAGCCTCACCCCAGAGCCCATCCCGTGAGCCAGAGCCCTCACCGACCCCCCCCAACCCCCCGCAGCCCAGCCCAGAGCCCCCTCCCACCCCTTGAACTCCTCATTTCTGGCCTGCACTCCCAGCCAGAGCCCCCATCCCGCCCACACTCCAACCCTCAATTTTGTGAGTATTCATGGCCTGCCATACAATTGCTATACCCAGATGTGGCCTTCAGGCCAAAAAGTTTGCCGACCCCTGATCTAGCACCATGGATCTCTTAGGTGCCATAATAATAAATAAATACTTCGCCCTAAATTTCCCAATTTTATCTCCATAAAAGTATTCCTCCCCCTATTTGCTGTTTACACTCTCCTTGGTGATTTGTTCCTCCTTCCCTTTAAGAGTCACTTAGCCAAGCATGCACATATAATTTTAGTCTTTCCTCAAATCAATTCCTCAGAATAAATCTTCTCTACAGAGTAATGATCTGCAAGCTAATACATCACAATAGCATCTTGGGACCATTACAAAGGTATCAAACTTTAAATTGTACTTTCTATCTTCAGATCTTAGATGTCAGGAAAGAAGGAACACCCAATAAACAAATTAGTAGCCATCTGATGTGAAAAGAACAGACCTGGCCATTCTGAGGTTCCCCAATCTAAGTATACTTTGAATGTCACCAACATTCATACATTTTAAGGCCAGAAGGGACTATTATAAACTAGTCTGCCCTCCTATACAACGTAGGCCATATAATTTCACCCAGTAATTCCTGTATCAAGCTCATAACTTCTGGCTAAACTAGAGCACGTCTTTTAGAAAGACAGCAAGCAGTTTTCTTCTGTCTCAGCATGCTCAGCAGAAACAATAAAGCTGGAAGAAAAATATCATTTTTCATTAGGAAATTAACGCTCATTTTCACTGGTTTAGTTTTCATCCAAGTTTCCTATGAATTTTGTTTTGTTTCTTTTCCAAATGAAAAAGTTAAACCACAAATTTAACTGAAGAAAGGTTGTTTGATTTTCCATTAGAAATTTTTCTGCACCAAAATTTGTTTTTCATTAAAAGCTATTTTTTTATCAAAACTGCTTTAACAAAAAGATTTTGACCAGCTCTAATGATAGCCCACTTATTTACACCAGCAGAGGACAAACTAAAATCTTCTCACTGAAATTAATTAAAACAAACACTTGTAAAAATGATGACATAACCCTTCTCCCCCTTTTACAAACTCATTTAGGTAGCCAATGGTTTCTTGCACTGGTACTTTCATCTGTAACCCAGGCAGGGTTCTGAACTGCAGTTCAGTGTACCTTTGTGACCTGGGATGGCTCTGAGATTAGGATAAGACGGTGATCCTGAAGGAGAGGGTGGTCCTTTCCCACCAACATGATTAGTTATAACAGGCGGTGACTGTGGTCTTCTCAACAGTGGCGACATACTGCGTCTTCTCTTTAGCGATGCTGGAGTGTTGGGGTCTCCTGGACGCTTAATTTTGTTCTGAGGCCCAGCGACAAATTCATCTGCTTCATCAATCATCATACCCTGAAAAGAGACCAGAAAGTTCTATTTGAAATAGAGATTTTCCACTGATATAACTAGAGTAAGCCTCCTCAACTCAGCTGGCTTTTAGTTGTCTGAAAACACAATGCCAACATGTCTAATATAAGGTGCAGTGTTTCAAATGCACACCAGCTTAGAACGGAAAGCACTTACAAATGCAACATGAGCCTTTGTATCTAATTCTCTTAGACAACATACTTAGAGAATGAGAATGGTTCTGAAGTTGAAGGAATGACTCCACTCTCCACTGAACTGTCTGAAAATGTTATGGAGCCTGCCATATCATGTACTGGTGAAAAATAGCTACAAATAAAGCAGGAATGTTGCTCCTCCCTACCTTCTTATCCTGTTTGAAAGGATTGCCAAATGTATGAAGCCTTTTTGGTTGGTCTGGATCAATCTCCCGAAGGGGAGAAGGCATCATCTTCAGGTATTCCTGGTAATTTCCCATTTGAGCAACAGGAACGCTGTGAAGGCAGTCTACAGTGGAACAGCATAGCATTACTTCGTCTATTTTAAAACCAAGATGATGTAAAGAACATACACATTTTAAATTGCTAGCGTTAACTCTTATGTATTCTTATGGGGCACTACGGGGCTGATGATTGATATGGCGCACTAGGAATGATATGGCTGTCAAAGAGCTACATTTATTACTTGATTTGGACAGAAGGGATGAAGAGAAATAATTCAAATAACTTTTATCCCAACCTCATCCTTTCCAGCCCCCACTGTGACGTGCCCTGAGCACCAGCTTTAAGGAGGGCTGCGGTAGGCAAATTGGAAATAGCATGCCCATCCCAGCCTCAGGCACTGACACACAAAAAAAAAAAAAACCAAAAGAAAAACAACACACTTCTTTGCCACAGAGCTCTCCCTGAGGCCTGTGTTTAAAATTTAAAGCAAGCACTGAATTCTCCTCCAGGTTAAAAGCCGAAGTATCCCTTTTGAATCCACTCCCCAGCAAGAAGACAGGTGTTCTGAACAGCATCCGAGTGACCCAGCACACCATGCACAGACAGACACGTCTGGAGCACAACGACTCACTTCAGCATAACCCCAGTGTAGTTGTTCACTGTTAGCAAGAGAAAGGTAACTATTTACCTTCATCCTGTCCAAGGATAAGCTTGTGTGTTTTCAGCAGGTTGGTTCTCATTCTAGTTAGCTGATCTAAAAGACTGCGACGAGGAATATCATAAGCATTTCTGAATGCCTGTGGCTTCAAATCCTAGTTTTAAACAAAGCATATACATTTCAATTAAGCCAACCATTTTCATCTACAGAGAGAACATACAGTGGAGGATTTTAACTATGTATAAAAATTATGAAGTATGACTTCTTCATAGATGGATAGAATGTACTCTCATACGCTGCTCGCTTTAGCGATCTCTACAGGACACATTTCAGCTCTCTCACTAGCGCTCTCAGCTCCACTGAACTAACCACCATGAAAAGTCCGGAACCACCAGATGTATCTTTCTGCAAAGACTGTCACTTTAAGATGATTAGTCTTTGTTCATTTATACTTTCAAAACAGACCCACAAAGCATCTGCAGAAAAACATTATCTATTTTTCTATCCACATGTATGCCTAAACTGTGATATCAGTAACTTCTTAATTCCTTTTACTATAAACAGAAGTTTTTAAGAGCAATTACTTTATGTGAGAGACAAGCACAAGGAGACAATTGACATGCACACCCACAGTATGTTTACCTTGTTTAAGAGTCCTATATGGAAGCCAGCAAATTCTTTAACATTCATTTCAGCCAGTCTCAATGGAGAGTCACCAGTGATCCCTTGTAGCAGCTGCTTAAAATCCCTGCTATGAACCAGGGAGAGGCCACTGGAGTGATTTTTCACTTTAATTCCAGTCTCTTGTGGCACTTTCTTACCCACCGAACCTATTATCCTCTCCGACTCAATTTTTGTCTAAAACAGAATTACATGGTGTTAGAGAAAATCAATAAGTATAAAATTCTCAGTTACTTTAAGAGGTCAACAGAGTTATAGTTTGACTCCCAACTGCTCGAGGAATTGGGAATTACATGTCCAGAGAGAGTCAGTTTCTAGGCAACCATGCCCCACTATGCCAACACAGAAAATTTCTGCTTTTAGCTAGTGCTACGGGAGTAGCGGGGTTACAAAACACTACTAGTTTTGCTGAAAGTCCAGCAGCAACAAAAAGGAAGGAATTAACTGAGGCATTTTTCTTTAAGGGAAAAATCTGAGTTGAAGTCAGAACACATTGTGATACTAGTATTTAAGATAGCAGAATTATCCCGCCTCAAAAACTATATGGTTTCAGACTTTTGGGGTTGCTTGACAACTTATTTTAAGTAAAGTTCACTATACAGGGACAAGAAAACTGAAAAAAATCGTAATTCCATCATAATTCATTAAGAGTTCTTCCCTAATTTTAAAGGACAAAGCAAGTACACAGCATCTCAGACATTAGCTGCCTTTATTCCAATGTCAATATAATGCACATTTTTATCTGAGTCATCTGTTGTGATTTCTGTGAACATTACAATAATATCCTCAAGCCATTCTGATCCTATACACCAAGTACATAATAAGAATTTGTATAAACCCTCATAAAAAATTCACCAGATGATTGAACATTCGCTAGATGTAAATACATGTGAGAAACCTGCTTGTAACTGTTCGTTTTTTGAGGTGGAGGGGTTTTTGTTATATTTAAAACTGCATTACTTCCCCAACACTGACCATAGGTTTTTAAATTACCTATTGCTAAATAATCTGATACTATTAGAATAATACCAAAAGATGCTGAGTAACAGCTCACTCTATTGGACAATGGGAAGATAAAGGGCCTCTCAGAGAAGGGGACTGGGGAGCAAGACATCACAGGGAAAGTGTTTTTTCCGTGCTGAACTTTCAAGAAAGAACTGAAGATACAGATTTGCTTTGCTTAGTGTTCTGTCTCTCTCTCTCACACACTCACACACATGATGGGAATGGGGCTGAATGGGGAGGGGGAAGGGGGGGAAGCCAGATGATCCTGCCTCTTGTAAAATTCTTCTTTTAATATTAACTTTCAGACAAGAGCGCTATTCCGTATGGCCAAACTTTAAACATTTTAGTAATGCACATCCAGAATAGACACTTACGGCCTCAGTCTCCAATGGAGGCATAGTTTAAAGTGGCTAAGAACAAGCAACTTATTTTAGCCAGAGTGAATATTAGTAGTAGAAATACCAAGTCTAGTTGGCAACAGTCTTTAGAGCAGAAATCAAACAGGTGCTTTAAAAGGTAGCTGGAAAAAAAACCAAAAACCTCTCCTTCCCATCCCACTCTACTACATATAGAAGCCACACTGACTGGCTCCAAAACGGTTCAGGGGTTCATCCATATAGCTATAGAGAAAGTATGATACAACACCGGAAAACCCCATAGAGATTAATTGATTTATAATCTGACCACAAACTAAATAATAATCAATGCACTTCTAATTGCAAAGGTTTTATCAATACTACCTGTTGGCTGAGTTTTTTAAGGTAAGAGATAACACTGTAACTAAGTCCACAATCTAAATTATCTGATATCAGATTTGGAGCTCCCATCATCCTTAGGGCTTTCTTTAATGGCTATAAGGAAAACAAAATACACAACATTAAGAGAATAAATCTTAAAAAAAAAGTTTTAAAAAATAAAGTATAGGGAACTAGGGCACTTGGTTTAGTGCTCTAGCTTTTTGCTTTTCGAAACTAGAATTCAAGTCTATTCAAGTAACATGTGTGATGAGTTTGGTGGTCTAGCTAGCTTCCAGTAGGCTTTATGCCACATTACCAGCATACCATGCAATATGGCACCACAGGCACTTTTCACTCAAAGGCTCAGTACTAGAATAGCCGGGATGATGCAAGTCCACATAGAGGTGCATTGCCCAAGCTACGTACAAAAGCTTATGTTGTGTACACCCTCATCTGTCTGGTCGGGCCAGTTCTGTTGGTATCTCTTTCTTGAGGACTAGGAATTCACACACATTAATAACTGTAAACAGTAATCTGCACACTCTTTAACTACAAAGGTAGTCTAATATTCACTTTTGACAAAGCAATTTAATCTAAAGTACATTTTCAGATTGGCACAATTTTGCAATAGAGATTTAAAATTAATCTTAAAATGTTTACTGTTGCTAGTAGCACAGAACAAGTTTGGGAATTTTAAAAAAAAAAGAGTACTATCCTTGACACACACACAAAGCAAACACAAAAGGTTTACTAACTAAAGGTTCATAGTTAGTGCTCAAAATTTAGGAAAAATGGGACAAAGAGTCCAGTTACCAGCCACCAATACTTCTACAAATGAAATATGAAAAAATACATACCAATAAGTAGTAAGGAGGCATTGTTTTTAAATAGCTGTCAAAAGCCTGTCGCCACTTCAGATTTGGCTTAAGTTTGTGAACCTTAAACAAGTCATCTGTAACAGAGAAAACAAGATTTGATTACACAGCCCCAACACTAACTTTTTGAACAACACTGCAATAAGTCAGTTTTCCTGGGGGAGTTTTCCAGGGGGCTTCCCCACAACAATTGCCCTTAATCTTAGATTCAAAGGGTTTGCATCCCCCATACTAGCTAGTTTTGACACCGGAAACCATGCCTGGTATTATTACAGCAACCTTACAGTGGATATGATCTCACAAGCAAACTAAACAGGACTGTTTAAATACTGCACACAACTATCAACTGGAGGGAGAAAATATATGCATCACAGCAGTTTTATCTTCCTCAGGCTCTTTATCAGAATTCCTCAATAAAAGTAAGGATTCCCCATAACAGATCAAACCAATCCACATTAACCATGGCTGTTTCTCATATTTCAAGAAGCTTTCATGCATCTGATCTATACTAAAAGTTCAATCTTGACTTGTGATAAACTGAAAGATATGGAATTGTGGCTACATATCAGAGCAGGAGCAAGCCCTACGACATATTTATTTGCTGTACTGCTGGACAGGTTATAATTTGTAATCACTATCTCCAAACATTTGCTATTGAAGGGCATGTAGAGTTCAAAATTCTTGTGCTGTTCTGGATTAGTCCATATACTGCATTATCATTTCCTGTCCTTCCACTTTATCAATTTGTGATTTCATAATCTCTGCTCAGCAGGGCTGCAGAACACTGGCAGAAAGGAAGCTAGAGAGTTTGGAGGAGATGGGGAACGGACATCCAGTAGGAGGTTGGGCAGGGCTACAGGGACATGTACAGGAGAAGGTTGTAAGAAGAAAAGACATGGCAGGGAAAGCGTTTTCTCCTTGCTGAACTTTCAGGAAGATCTATCTGAAGAGGCAGATTTTACTTGCTCAGTGCTCTACATAAATGGAACAGATGTTTCAACATTTTCTATCTTCTCACACTCAAGCCCATCTTAACTACAGGTATTTTCCAATCTAAATGAATTCTGTATCAAACAAAAAAATACCCCACTACAGCTGCTTTAGTTACTCTATTTTCTGGCCTGAAGCAAATGGGGTGAGTGTTTCCAAGGCGTTAAAGCTCCCTTTTAATCTGAACACATTTAATAATTGGCAGTATTATCTAATTAGATCTGTGAGAACTTCTTATGCTTGGATATCTGTGATTTATTACAAATACAAAACAATCCTTTTTTTTTATATTGTAAAGAAGCCTGTTAATGTTATATGTACTTAATTATTTCATAGTGATATTCTGATGTTTCAAATAAACTTAACCATACCGTTCTTTTATATGAACTCAATGTCCTGGTGGTATGCAAGTTATGAAAACAAGAGATTCTTTCAGGAGTTGCTGTCTGCAGTACAGATGTCACTATATATTTTATTGCATATGCACACACACAGCTAAATTAATGAAGAGACAAAAAAAACTGAAAAAGCATTCTGTGTTGTGACATCAAAGTTGTAGTGTGAAACATCGGCCACAATAAGCCAATGATATATTTTATTACTGGTTTAGTTCCTTTCTATAAAGGAGGCTATTTTAGAATATAAAGTACATGTAGCTTAATGGTGTAACCGTTCATAAATAGTATGATTAATATTTACAATATGCATTGGCTCAATTAGTTATGGGTACCCAAACTAGCGCATGTTTGCAATCTGAGAATTTCGATGTTTGGATACCAGAGTTGCAAAATGCTGTTTCAACAAGATTGTGTGAAATGTAAACAGAGCTTTGACACAGACATTTAAGAGTGGCTGCAGAACCTTCATTCTGTTTACACTCAGGGCCTCGCAGACAGGGTTGCCAACAACAGTGCAGAGTGGACAGCCAGTGTAACAATTCCTACCCTCCAAATGAGAAAGAAAATGGCTACAAGTTTCAGGCAGGACATAAGAGTTGGTCTCTATCCCTCCCTTCCCCTTAGATTTCAAGGAAGGACAGGGCAGGGTAAATCAGTCACAAGAGAAAGTTCCAACATCTGGGTTAAATTAATTGTTTTGGCCTTTATCTTAGACCAATTTAAGGCAAGAAGAGTTCCAATATAATTAGTTTGTTCATAATTGTGATAAGGGGAGAAGTAAGCTCTGGGCTGCTAAAAATTCATGACAATTTTGCTGGTGTGAAATTATCTGAATTTCTACATGCTCATATTTCAAGCCAGTAGTTACAGCTTTTAAGCCTCTGAAATGTACTCTGCCATGGTGCTCGGTCAGGGCAGTATGCCAGCCTCTATGTAAAGAAACTTCACATCAATTTAGTTATACCATTCCTTTCATAAAAGGATACTGTCAAGCACTTAAGGGTTACAATTTAAGATTTATTATCAACAAAAAGATTTTAAGCCAACCCTATTCATCATATTTGTTTTAAAGATATGTCACATTTGTCTTCAGCTATTCTCCTGCAGACAGTGGGCCAGAACCTGCAGAATGCTGAATACCCTCTGTTTTCTGAGTCAGTGGGATCTGAGGGCACTGAATATTTTACAAGAGGGGCTTAGAACCTTAGGATGGGTTCACATGTTTGCAAGCTAATACTATAATAATTCGAGAGACCCAAGTGTGACTAGGGACTGACTGCAAACATAGATGAAACTGACCAGTCTGTTTTCTTTACCAGCTTTAGACAAGGTTTAAAAAACAAAACACCCAACCCAGCAAATGGTGAATAGCAAATTAGAAAATTTTAAAATTCTGTGTTAGTAACAGATCAGGAAGCTGGTTTACTTTTAACTCAAGAACGTGGCAAAACAATGTCAACACAGTTTTAATTATACAGTAGGATCCCAATTATCTGGGCAGCCTGTGTGACAGCAAGTTTGTTCCGATAACAAGTTTGCATAATCTGAAGTTAATATAAAAATGTTTTAACAGATTAATTAATGTAAAAAGGAAAAACACTGCATCCATTATTAGTCTGTTACGTTCTGTTCAATTACACCTGTGAAAGCGTGACTTTGTTCCCCTCTAGCGACTAATCTATGTATAGACATTTATGCGCCTTTTACTGCCTTCGAGCTAATGGACATAGTCCTTTAGTTTATGCAGTAGAGGCTCATGATTTTACATCCAAAGATCATGGCATGCTCATCCCCACAGACAGTCCAGTCAAGGGCACTGTTATATAAGTATGGAATAATCCATCATAGAGGTGCTCCCTATTCCCATTAGTGTAAAAGCAGTATCTGACTGTGATACTATGCAAGAACAGTTCATTTAGCTTGCAGGGGGAGAAAAGGGCAAGTTTTGGATTTTCAAATATAAAATCACCTCTTGAAATTTCTCAAAAAGTCTGTAGGAGCATCATCTGAGCTGGTCCAAGTCACAGGCTCTCCACAGAAAACCTACATTTTCTAACCCACTCAGTTTCGAGTGCGTGTAAGCACAAACGTGGGGGTTGAATTGATTTCCTTCTGGCAAATTTTCTTATTATCTGCTATTTCCCCATTACCTCCAATGACTCTTCAGAAGAATATCCATGACCCTGTTCTCTCATCAAGCTAGCCCTCCACATTAGTGCCTCAGTGACTAGGATCAGTCAGGAAAGAGAGTTGTTTAAATTGCTCAGCCAAGATAGCACCCTAGATTTCATCAATATCCTTGATCTTTGCTGTGTTCCAATTTTAAATCCCTGGCTTCATTTATGCTTTATGGCTTTGGCTTTTCAATTAGCCTGCTCTTCTGCAGACATGGGATGAGATCTGTAAGTGCAATGGCGTTAATGATTCCATTTAAGAGATGGTGTTTCTTTGTTAGGAGAAGACATCTGGAAACTGGTGTAAGAAATTACCAAGAGAAACAGTTGCTAAGCATAGGTCAGTCATAGGATTAAAGTTCTGATGTATCAGAAAACATGACAATTCCATCCCCAGGCCCAATACATGTAATATCATGGTACACCAGAGACCTATTTAGGAGCAGAAATACCTTCAGAGGCAGATTTTTTTATTTTATTGTCAGGTGAAACTTAGAGAAGCAACAAACGAGGATTGTGCTTGCTATTCTGGTGTTCTTCTGGTGTTCAGATTGGACAGCCTGCCAAGTTAGAACACTATGATTCTCTGGCATTCAGTACAAGGAGGAGGTAGAGTATGCATGTGCCAGATGCACTAGTACATCCCACATGGTCACTCTTTGGCTTTGTAAAAGCCAGGGTTTCCTTCTCTGAACCACAGACCAGAGTTTTGTCAGCCAGACACCAATACTATTAACTTGCCCAGATCAGACCATCACACTGGACTGTTTGGCTCCACTCTCCCATAAATGGCCACACCTTTCAGTTGCACCCACTGGTTCCCTGCAAAGCTTCAGATTCCTGAGTCCATGTCTTAAAATTGAGACAAACATCCCTTGCCACGAATAAGCCCCTATATATTGCCTATCGTCAGGTGCAACTGAAGCATGCACACTCTTTAAGCTGGGGACCAGATATAGAATCCACATTTTGGCTCCTGAGAAGCAAAAAAAGATAAGCTGTCAAGTCTCTAACTGTGGTACGATTTTACATCTTCTAGTCACTGGTCCCAGCAATTCACTTCACCAACTTGGCAAAATCTTCCATTTTCTTTAGCGTTCTTAACACTGGTATTCACAGGCTTCCTCATGCCATACTTGCTCTGCCTCGTTTTCAGGCCTGTCTGCTGTGTTCCAGGATGTCAAATTAAAACCTTCCCTTACCCACCAATGGAACAGTGGGAATAAACAAATGCAAGAAAGAATAGTCTTGTAAGCAACTAACAACACTTAAAACACACAAGTTCTTGAAAACTTCTTGACAGACCAGGGGGCCAATAAATTAGATAGGGTGGTTATCTTCTTGTACGGTACAATTTCCTCCCCTCCCCACAATCGTGGAAAAAAGGGAAGGGGGAAAATTTATCTGCATTCCACCCTGAGCATCAATGTTTGTCTCATTCCCCAGATGCAGAGCTCTTCCAACAGAATGGTGGACACAGGAAACATTAAAATAGCTCTTAGAGCAACAAGAGAAGTCGTGGGTGACTAGAGCAAGTTACTCTTCCTTCTCCCCTGTAGAACATCAAAACCCTGCTGATCAGAAAAAGGAAAGACTGGTTTATGCAATCAAACCAGTCTTCTTGCTGTTTTTTTAAATACAAAAACCCCACATATCAAAGATGTCAAGTATCTTTACAAGTGTCTTTGGAAAGATTTACGAGTGTACTGTCAGTTGGTAAGTATTTGGCAATTTCTCCCATTGATCTCAGGATATAAATTCAGCAAAAAAGGCTTCGTTTTAGGTTCATGCAGAATGGTCACGGAACCCAATTTCACCAAGCCTCCCATTCCATGGATGGAAGTGTTCAAAACAGCTCAAGATACATACACTGGATATGCCATCACTGTACCTCCGTGGTAAACATCCTGTTTACGACTCATGCATTTGAAAAGCCCCACCCTGTCATTTAAACAGCACCATGCAGTTTAAATTTTACAGATAAGGTACACCACGTGCTTGAGGTAGTGAGCAGCAGAAGAGCACTGCACATGTTGCAGAGGCGCCTCTCGCACATCCCTGTTTTCCACACATAATGGGAAGACTTTTCACCTCTCAAAATAGGGTGGGGGAAGAAGTGGCAGATCAAAATGACTACACCAAGTTTATTTGTATCCACTGATGGCCTCAGCTGGATTAGCAGATCTGCAATAGAAGTGGCAGTTCATCTGATTTGGTAGCAACCAGCTCTCAGAAAGCGAGCGTTTTTAGACTGAACTGCAAGTCCTAGGTGTTGGAATCAATATCAGGCTGACATACAAGCCATGAGTTAATGTTTTCAACTAAGAGAAGTGCTGATTTGCTGGTGGATTATGATGAGGTGATAAGGTGTATTAGGAATATAAACAAACATTCTTGCACCTTTTTCTTGCCAGAATAATGTATGTGACTGTTCCATATAATACGAGAAATAATGTTTTAAAGTTCAATATTTCTTATCCTAAATCTTCACTGTTATTTTGTATAATTTTTAAAACACAATGGCTCTATAAATGAAAGAAACAATAGCACCTGGGAAGCAATTCCCTCTGCCATTAGCATTTTGCCATGGGAACCAAAGTCTTTACACTATAGCTATTACAGGACCTATTCATGCACCACTTCTCTCGTATCATCTCGCCTGTGGAAAGCAAGCTCATCATGAAAATGAAACACTTTGTCCTCGAGGGGAAATGCTGGCTGCTTCGTTGCTCTAGACCTGCTTGCTGGTTGCTACTCTAAATTGCAGTAGTTGACTTCTCTCTCCCTAACACCCCTAAAAAGTCCTGCATCTGACCTTCCAGCCAAAAGTAGGATGCCACAAGAGCAACTGCAAAAAAATGGAGATACCACAGCCTACATGAGGGAAAAGAATGGAGGTTGAAGCTTACTCCAGGTTAAGGAAGAGGCTACGTGTCTAGGAGGTGAACAGCATCAAACATGCACTGGAAGCAGGTAGCTCTCCTCCTCTGCTGGAGAGAAAAAAAAAAGGGAGAGGGGGTATGAAAATCCTCTCCTCCCAAATTATATTTAAGAGTTTGCAACATTCTATACTCTCTGATCTCCATTATTTTAACCAATAAATTTAGGCAGCACATTAGCCAACCTTATTTTTATGCTGTTAAACTGTCCGATGTACTGTATTACCTACCTAGCAGAGGAAGTAAAGCAGGATAGTTGTAAGGCATCACAAAGAGGTTTACACAGGTTAAAGTAGTGCTTGCTTTTAAATACCCAAATGGATGGCCAAGTTCACTGTATTTTCCACTGTTACTCACAAATACCTGATAAAGAACATAAGAACACTGTTATATTTAAAACAGAACATTCTAAAAAGTTGCACATTTATCAGAATAAGTGCAATCTGATTTTTGACTCTTTTTAAGGGGAGAAGGGGAAAACACTAGAAAATTGCCGAGTTTGATTTTACCTGTGTACATACAACTGGACATGCACTTAGACTTGTAAATTACATACATTAGAGATGCAAAGATACTTAGTCATTTAGTCTATCCCGGCAGGGTGGGATTGCTCTCCAGAGCATATTTTCCAGTGATTTGTCGACACTATATTTAATTACTCAAGGGAAGTAATGGACGCTCCATTGCTTGACACCATTTAACAGGCTATACCTGATCTCTGTTGCAGGTAGATTTTTCTAATAATTTGATTTATAAAGTTATCTCCCTAAAACACATGCACAATTGATAAAAAGCCTGATTTTTCATTCTTCAATACATTGACACAAACTCTCAAACTAAGGAGATATTGCCAATTTGTAAACATGAGAGTTAATCAGAGCATTAATCCTCGGAAGACTGATTATTAAGATACGAACTTCTCTTAAATTTGGAGGATGCCAATATTCTGGAGGTTGTAACCATGACGTGGAGTACTAAGTTTGAGAAACAGACAGACACTCTCTATTAGTGGCAATATACAGAAGTACAAGAAAGTCCCATTTAGAATGTACTATTTACTCTTACAGAGACATAGTCAACAAAAATCACTTTTTTCTACTTTGTTTGTCTACAGATTTGTCTACTGATGTTACAAGAAACACTTAAGGTTGTTGTAAATGAAAAAAAAAAATCCACTATTTTTCCAGGTTTTTTAACTTTTGTGCATTCGACAGCACTTGGAGTATAGTTTGTCAAATAGTTCCCACTGTAATTAGTCATTTTCCCTCGTCTGAGTGGATCTTTCACACAACTTGGAAAAGAAAAGCAGTTTAAATAAACTAGAGAGATTCATTCACAAAATTTGTCAGGGGAACTGAGGGGCAGATGAGATAGCCAAGCATGCTTTAAAGCCATTATTTGGAATTCACTGGATTGACTGCATTCCCTCAGTTTTTTTCTAAGCAACACTGTGATTTATTTTACTGTTGGTTACACTTCAAAATTACTTTTACCATTTATTTGTAAGTTAGAGATTTTAACATCTCTCTGCACTTCTATGTGGTTTCCAAATTCTTTCTAGGTAATGAAATGGTCCCAAATTACCACAGTACCTCACGTATATTAAATGAATTCATCTTCACAACAGATCCCTGTGAGGGAGGAGAATCCCATTTACAGAGAGGGAACTAAAGCACACATAAATTAAGGACTTGTCTACACTACAGGGACTATAGTGGCATAGCTACAGCACCGCAGCTATGCCAGAATAACCCTGTAGCATAGATGCCGCCTACGCTCACACACAGGTTTTCCCTGCACAACAGTAGCTAGGTCAACAAAAGGCATTCATCCGTGGATCTAGCTGCATCAAACACTGAAGGTGAAGTCGGCATAGCTACAATACTCAAGGTGCACCAGAGCTATATCGTCCTAAATTCTAAGACCTGGTGTACACCAGTATCTCTCAACTTTTTATACCAGGGACTGGCTTTGCTGCCTTCCTGAACTGTGTCAGGCATCTCAGGGACCAGTGACGGTCCAGTCACCCATGTAGTTGCGCCACTGCAGCACTGTAAGTGTAGACAAGCCCTAAATGTAGACTAGGTCTAAGGGACTCGCCACAGGCCATGCAGAAGAAGCCTGTGACAAAGCCTCCACAGGACCAATCCAATGCATTAAGCATGAGGTATGAATTGGACGGGAGAAGTTAAAACCACTACTTACCACACAGTACATTAGAATTTGTGTCACTTAAATAACATCTAAGAGTTCTAACAGAAATCAATAATCTCTTTCTTTTCCAACACGCAAAGGACAAGTTGCATTTCATCCGAGTGTGGAACCTGGGGGACACATTTGCCACTGAAATGCTCTGACTTCAAAACAGAACTAAATGAATGGATGAAGCCTGTAGTGGCATCACCTCTTCAAAGGCTTGAAAAATCTAGTCAGAATTGAAAGGCAATTGGCATCTTTACATATCTCCTCAACTCAACTCAGCAGAACAGTGTAACAGACATACCTCTTGCCTTCTTGCAGGTTTACATAGATTAACGTAGCACTGCCTAGGGATTCCTATTGACTTTATAATAATCAAATAAAGGCAAATACCTGCCAGCAGGCATGGGGAGACTTTCGTTCCAAGATGTACTGCGTTAAGGGCGAAGGTTCAAGTTCATATTTGTCAAAAGGAAGCTTGTCTATTACCATTGGCTCACAATCTACACAGGAGAACCTCACAACAGGATGAGCTGTGCGTGGCGGCTAAGAGAAGGAAGAAAAAAGATTCATGACTTAGAGTCCACCAACTGCCTGATGTTAAAGATAATCAGGTTAATTCTTTAATGCTAGTAACTGCCACCCAGAAATTTGCCTTTTTTTTTTTTAATTTAATATAGCTCCAATCTAAGGTACTATTTTAAAGTATTCCACTTTTGATACGTTCTTTTTAATAAATCAAATCAAGCTGTATTACTAAACACAGATGAATAAAATCATTTAGTAAACAAACAGCTGACATGCAGTAATGCACCTCCTCCCATACACACCCTTTATTCCTCACTAGCCTTCAACACTTAAAAAAACCAAGTTAATCATCAAGTTTTGACAATAGCAGAAGGTGAAATTCCTACCATGTGATCCAGATGAATCAAGATAATGGACTATTAACTAAATCATTCACAAGTTATTGAACAACATTGGCACACTATTCCCTCCTAACCCACAAGGGGGGGAAAATGTAGTTAATATTAAAAATTTTTAAATATTTCAAGTCCTAAATCCCAGTCAATCCACAAAGTGCACAAATACATGATTTAAAGAAAACCTGAACTCTTTCTCTCAGCCTGCTGTTCACAGAAATCCGTGTTTGAGAGTGTATCCGCTTGGCTAATACGATTGCTCAAAATGTTCCCTAGTGATTGATTCCCCCCCCCAAGGAAAAACTAACACCTTGAGCAAATCGCACAAGTGCAGAAACATAACGTGCCCACTTCGAAGGGATAGATTATGAAAAAAAGGCTGCTAGGTCAAGCCAATAACCAACAAAATGACTGAATGTTTCAGAAAAGAGCAAGCACATGCTGCATGTTCCCACGATTATCTAGAGGATTGCTTCCTTCCCTGCCACAATTTGCCATGCTAGGAAGAGAAGAATCATATACATGGAGTCCTGCTACGTACCAGGAAGAGCGATTCCACAAAAAGGAACATCAAAAATGCACTACATCTTCTAACCCCCTTTGTTGAGATAGTTTAAGACTCCATGGCTCTACTTTCTACTCCCATTTTTAAAAAACACTTTAAATAATTTAGTTCAAAGTATAATTTTGACTCAATATTTTAAAAACTTCATTTCCACAGTCGCAAAATGCAAAGATATTGAATTAAAACTTGATTGATGCAATATTTAAAAACTATTAGAAGAACTAGTTTACTGAATGGAAAATTTATTGCAATAAACTTTCCGGATCCAGAAGTGATGTGGGATGCAATTTCTAGACTTGTCTTCACCAATCAGCATCATGGAGAGTCAATTCATTTTTTTAGTGAAAGCCAGACCATAAGCAAGCCTGGGGTAATTTACTGTTCATTTAAGAGCTCTCTATCCGATCAGGAGATGTGGAATCCTTTTCTTTAGTTGGTTTTACTTACCAGAGTTGGTGAATTCTGATCAGGCCAAAATGACTCTGGAATTGGCCAATGCCCAACAGGAACACCAGTTTTAGGGTTAGGTCGTACATAAATGAGTTTATGACAACTATGCCACGGTTGAGAAGCAAATGAATTGATGGGCCTGGGTGAATCAACAAGTCCATCTAAAATTTAAACAAAGCAAAAAAAAATAAAATGAAAAATAAAAAGCTACATGGCATGCATTTGTTTCCCAGGAAATTCTCTTATTAAACAACCAATGTCCCATTTCATTTGTTTCAAAGATGCCAATGTGTGTCTTAACATCAAGGCTGAACATCTACATCAGCATGTAAAATGGCATAATTTAAAGTCACTTTAAGAGCATGTTTGCCCACACTCTACAGTCCTGCTCCAGCTACACAGCAATTCAACTAAGTGCAGCACTGCTTGCTCAGCGTATTACACAAAATGAAGTTGGTTTAGACTCAGTATTAAGTACTTGCTTTAAAAATGGTACAGTATAGAAGTCTAGAATCTCTGACACTGCCCTGGCTACAAAAACAGGTCACTGACATTTTATAGTCTCACTGAAGGTGATACAGTATACAGGGAATAATGTTAGTATTAGCTGAAATTAAATGGGAAAACTTCTCCAGGGAAAGACAAAATTTTTAGAGGTGTAAAATGTATCCTATGGCAATAGATTCAGTCTCAATTTTCAGCAGTCTGTTGAAGTTCCTAATGCCTTATTAGTAAGTCATTTCACTCTTCTCCTCTTCCACAGAAATGCAAGTTTAAGGGTTTTGTATCAGTTAGCGCATTATGTCCTATTACCTCACGTACATTCCCCCATTTTATATTAAAACTGAAACAGTTAAAATAAGCTCAGATTTCACAAAACCTAGATGTGGGTTTGGAACATGGCTCAACAAGGTACAGGTGCATAGCTAAGCTTGCCAGCCTAGTTTCCAGCATTTGTCACAGGTATATGCTTTTGATTTGATTTGATTTGTTTCAGGAATGGTTGACTGGTATTACAGAACATGCCCTTCTGTTACAGACCAATTCATTTCTCCATTTTTTGTAGCGTGCACTACAATAATTTGAAGAGCACTAACACTGCTACGTTTCCCCATACCAGAAACTTCTGCTGCTCTTGGTTTAGATTGAACATATTTGCTTCCTTGACACACACCAAGTCTGAGCTCTCTTGACACTTTTGTGCTATGTTGATACTTACACTCTACTGTTTTATAGCTTCGGATAAAAGGGAAAAAAAAAAAACAACACTAAATCAAGTTCATCCAGTTACTTTCCCATACAAGAGCAACCTCGTGACTCCAGTGTCCAGATCAGCAGATGTCAGGGACTTTGCTTAGTGCCAACCTGGACTGCACAGGATGCCGGGGGCAAGTCTAAAATATTCTCCCAAGTAGATGAAAAGGCATTATGAGGAAAAACAGGCAGGCAGGCAAACAGGAAAGAAAGGCAGGGGGGAAGAAAAGGTGGCTCAGAATGAAAGTAAGGGTGATAGATGATCACAGTAGAATGCCTAAAGGACCCCCCAAAAGCAACAGATACTCTTGATTTTTTTGTTCTACTTGCATACTCTATGTGTCTTCAAGTTTGCTTTTAAGTGTATGATTTTCTGTGCATGTAAGTTGTAGGGAAAGAGAGTCTTCCTAAACATGCCAAGGGATCAGTTTCTTTCCTCCATTTTAGATGTCGAGTTCTGCAAGTCTGAACAAATTGCCCCATGATCAACAAATGTATTTTTTCCCCCACACTCTCCCTTCCTGTCCGGGCACATAAATTTTCACTTGCAGTTAGGAAAGAAAAGTTTCGATCCATTACAGTGTGATCAGGTTCAAGCAGCACAATGCCAAAAACGTTAAAAAACAGACACCTTTACAGTGTATCCATTTAAAACCGCATTTAAAGTATTTTTTTTTAAAAGTCCACTATAGCACCTAAACAAAAATTCAATAGAATTACATTTTCTTTTTCCCTATTCATTTTGTGGATTTGACAGCACATGTATATAGTTAGTTTCCTCTGTTTCTGAGGCTCACCGTACCGAACGTGGGGAGAGAGAAGCCATTAAGGGGGGAAAAATGTGAATGGTAAAGCCACAGAAGTTTGCAGGTGCAGTATCTGAAAGCCCTCTCTACACCCCCCAAATTACTAGATTTCAAATAGGCAGTATCTCCAAGACTAATTAAATTCTGTTGCTTGTAACATACTGAAGAATCCTTAACGGTGATCCATGGTGGTATTCTTCAAGAACTGTAAATCTAGCAGGTATCTTTTGCAGTTGCTTTCAAAGGCCTTGTCTACAGTGGGTAAAACAAAGGTGTATTTTTCACGTATGCAACATATGTTAAAATGCACCTTCCTTCAGCGCAGAGACAGCCTGAGAGCACCAAGGGTTTGTCAACACCAGACATTTTGACCTCAAGTTCACTGACTGGCAATTAACACTAACTAGTTCATGTGTTTCAAAAGGCTAGCATGTACACTCCCAAATATTTGTTTCAGGATACGTGTTGCTCTTTACCCTAGGCTGACCCCAAGTAAATCCACATTAGCTTTTACAAACATACTGAAGACCTCAAGTTACTAGAGGGTGAGTTAACTCTGGTAAAGTCTAGTGAAGCCCAAATAAAATTCACACACAGCTCAAATTTATTTAAAAAAAAAAAAAAGAGAAGTTCTTACGATAGATTTTGAGGTATTTAAAAAAATAAACAGCTTTATATATTGTCAGCCCTATACTGCTTTGAAAATCTACATAGCATTCACAAGACTGGTGTGCATAATGCATCCAGGATGCTTTCCAATTATTTCAACACAGTCCAGTTATTAATGCCTCTACTACTTACTTCTGTTGATGAGAGACAAAAGCTTTCAACTTTGTTCTATATGGTACCAAGCTCTTCTTCAGCTTGGTGTGGCTCAAAAGCTTGTCTCTCTCCCCAACAGATGTTGGTCAAGTACAAGATATTACCTCACCCACCTTGTCTCTCTAGTATCCTGGGACTGACAGTTACAACTACACTGCATCCACTATTTACAACAGGAATAAGTAGCAATGCTGGATATTTCTGTCTTTTGAGCTGTGGTTCCTCAGTCAACAAGATAGCAAGCAATAATGGCATTTCATTCCTAAGACAAGATCGTTTAAGGAAAAAGCTCAGATACCACACACATTAAGGATCTACACTGAGCTTACAAAGCAACAAAAAAAAACACTTGTACATAGATTACAGCTACAGAGATGGAAGTGAATAGTTACTGTACCTTCTCCAATGGGAGCTGGGTCTGGTCCTGATTTTTCAAAGTTAATAACAACACCACTCTGAACTTTTTGAACTAGAGATTCTAAACACTGGTTCAACATTCTTTGTGTCCGCACACAATAGGAGCGACCTATAAGTAAGAGAAGAGCAATGCAGAGAAAGTCTGAAAAGAAGTCTCAGCAAACCTTAATTGTGTAAGTAAGGAAGGATACTGTTTATTATAAAAATAAAAATTATATTATATGTCAAGGCTCTTTCAACTTTATGTGGAATCACCACCGCAGTGTTGCTGCTTTAGTGACAAACTCAAATCATCAACAGACATGGCACAATACTTCCACAGTGCAAACAATACAGACCGTGAAAGCCAAGTTGGTCTTTTCCATCCTGTGCATTATCACCAATAACACAGGCTTTGCAGGCCAAAAAAGCCTTCAGTGACAATGGTGTAGACCCATTGGAAGCAGTCGGTTTGCACAGCTCAATGCTGTTGATGATGCTTCTGTTCATTCGTGTGTAATTCACTCCTTTTAGCTGTATTAGCACCAGAAGGTTAATGAAGTAAACATTAGTTATTAAAGGAAGCAGGTTTTACTGAATACATAAGGAACAGATCTGATGAGTGAGATGGTTTCATTTCTAATCACTTTTCAAAGAAGACGACCAGCCTTTTATAAAGAAAGAGGAAGGGATTACAAACCTTAACATGAAAAAAGTGAAAAGCTGTCAGATTTAAAACAGCCAGTATTTTTTAATTTTAAAATACTCTTGCAAGGCAGAAACCCAAATGCAACCGTGCTATGCTAACACGTTGAACTGGCCAGGGTAGAGTCAGTGTCCAAAGTGAGAAAAATTAGATGTAAAATTATTCTCTCCCTCCATCCCTCAAGAGCATCCCATTAAGACAGCTTAGAGAATAAGACAAATTCCATGTTGAAACCAAAGCAAAACAACATCCAACTACCTCCTGTCACTTCACACATCTGTGTGATTGCAGATTCATCAGTGGGTACGCTCCCTAGTTGCTCTGGTTCAACAGAAGAAGCTCCTGGCAAACGCAGCACTAGGGCAAACAGCCTTTGATCCCAACGAAATGGTTCTTTGGTTAGTTCACTTCCAGGTAGAGGAGAATTCAAAGGAAGATGAAGCTAGTAAAGAAAGATTTGAAAGCTTTAAGGGATCAGATGCTCATTTGAAGACATGTACCCAAACAAATCATCAAAATAATGGATAAACTGAAGGACCAGTTTTCTGCTCTATTAATCAGTGCTATCAAACCATAGTCTGTGAACTCCTAGTGCCTATGGAACTCAGCAGTGGGGCACTGGGAGAGAAGCTGGTCCACCTTTCTTAAAAAGTGGTCTGCAGAATGAAGCTGAATTACCACCAATATAAATCTAATTCATAATTCTTTTAGCACACTGCCAAGATGCAAATTCACAGATTTTAAAACTGAAATTCTTTTGGGAGTCTTGTTAACAGTTAAAAGTAAGTTAGTGTTCCCCCGTAGCCATTTTAAAAAATAAAACAACTGTGAAAGTCTTACCTCCTCTTGAACACCAGCAGTATGTGTCAATTTGTTTCCATCCGTGATGGTAATTAAAATAGATGGCTCTAAAAAGAACGGGTTTCTCCCCTAGAGAAAGAATAAAAACATGTAAAATAGTAACAAATAATATTTAATTCCATACTTCAGTTAAACTTGTGTTGGTTTGTAAACGTACTCATCAATTTACAGCACATAAAACACAGTATCTGCCTTTAAGAACTTAAAATGCCAAACAGTCCTTATAAAAGCGTGAGATGGTTTTAAATCTGTGGACATGTAGAACTTCACAACCGAAATGATACTGCACATCAAAGCCACACAGAACTTCAGACTGACCACAAGTATAGAACTCAGACCCTCCTGGCCCATAAAGTCACAGGTTCCTATCACTTAAGCAAAAAGTGAGTGTTAGGAGTAGACCCTCTATGACACTAAATAGCAACAATATATCTATATTCCAGCTGGCTCTCCTTGCAGGAGAAAATAAAAAGATCAGTATACTGTAAAATACATTCAGGAGACTTAACAGTGGAAAAATTAATCATTTTTAAAACTGGGCTTTTTTTAAAAAAAAAAAAAACAGATAACATAGTTCATTAAAATACCATACTGAGAAGGCAAACATACAACATAGCAAAGTTTGAAATAGTTATTTGATAAATGTCTACAGTTTTAAGATTCCAGGTGTACGTGCATGCACACACAATATGCACCGAACACAAATATACACAGAACACGTTTCCATGTGGCTCAGTGTGTGACACGAGAACTCGAGTTTTAAAAATGGAATTATTTGTAGTTTATGAATATTGATAGTACATAACACAAGAACTAGGGGTCACCCTATGAAATTAATAGGCAACAGGTTTAAAACAAACAAAAGGAAGTACTTCACACAACGCAGTCAACCTGTGGAATTCGTTGACAATGGATGTTGTGAAGGCCAAAACTATAACAGGGTTCAAAAAATAACTACATTAGTTCATGGAGAATAGGTCCATCGATGGCTATCAGCCAGGATGGTGAAGGATGCAATCCCATGCTCTGAGTGGCCCTAGCTTCTGTTTGCCAGAAGCTGGAAGTGGATGACAGGGGATAGATCACTCAATGACTGCCTGTTCTGTTCATTCCTTCTGAAGCACCTGGCATTGACCACTGTCGGAAGACAGGATACTGGGCTAGATGGACCATTGTTTTACTATAACCAGTTCAAAGCAGCCCCCTCATTTTACTCATACTCCATCACCCCCCCCAACCCCGCTCCAGATATTTAACAATATCCACAAAGCAGCAATGGTTACAAAGAGTGTTTGATAAAATGTGAAGAACAAACATTTGTTACCTGTCCATAATTGTCTATTCCAGATACTAATCTATTGAGATTTAACAAATCAAACGAGGATCTGAGAGCCTGCCCGAGGGTAGTCAATCCTGAAGCTTGGAGGTTTTTCAGTTCATTCATGAATGTTGCATGATTTTCCTTCCATCCAGCCTGTTATGTAGTAATATAGAGAGAGACAAAAAAGACAGTTTATTGGGTCATTTTACTAGTGATCTGGCAAACATCAACTGCAGGGTCTGATCATCGCTTTTCCTCTCAGAGGCAGATTACATTTCTCATTAGCAAGTAGATCCTATTGTGCTTGTATGATCCATAGATTTAATAAATAAATAAAATAAAATAAAATCAGAGGAGCCACACAAGTATCTTCCCACATAACTGCAATGTGTACAGAACATGAAGTACACAGTAGAAAACAAACTACAAACAGTATTAAGTTTTTGAAACAATGACTCTGTCTATTTAGCTCTTTTTATGAAAGCTGCAGCAAAGCGGAAGTGACTAATGGAACTATTTGGGTACTTCCATGAGAATGAACATTTGATTTAAAAAGTGTGTCAAATGAAAGGCATTTAGAAATCGAACATGAATACCTAAGGCATGGTGGTGAATGAAGGAGCTGCAGGGAGAGCACACGGAGCTGCTCTTGTGGTGCTCTGCAACTCCTCCCCAAACAGCCTTACCCAGGGCTAGAAAAACATGCAACACGTGCTCAAGGACTAAGCCTAGTAGCCCGTGAGAGATACCCATGCCGACACATTCTTGCTCCCTGCTCAGTGCCCACCCCAGAACTAGAAAGATGTTAGACAGCTGTGTATCATTAACTGAGGACTTTTAATACTGTATAATCAGCCAACTTAGAGAAGTTTTACAAAAGCGACTCACTATAGTTCTTACTTTTCTTGTACTTCCTTTCCCTCCTGGCTTTACTCCATTTACGTTCATATACAGATCGTGCCTCTTATGCTTTCCTCTACACTTTTCCTCCACATCCATATTATATATTGTAAAAGCACACTTTTCTCCTACCCCAGTTTCTCTACGTCCTACCTTATAACTCTAACTCTACTTTCTTCCGTCACTTCTTCCTTGCTGCTGGAAACTGGCTCAGATTCCTGCCAGGTTGTTGCCGGGAACCCTTCTATCTCTTTAGCAGACAGACACTTTCTAGTTGAAGACTGATAGTTGCAAGGTCCCAATCCCTCCCCCACTGTTGGAAGGGAGAAGGGACATTGTGTCTTGTCCTCTGCATCCCAGAGACTCCTGACTGCTGCAATGGGGAGTACAGAACATCTCTCCAATATTTATAGTTCACTCCCTCAGCTACCTGGCTGCTGCAAGGAGGCAGGTGTGTACATGTGCAAGTGTCATTCCACCCCTTACCCCAAGCCTCAGTTTTGAGTCCTCTACACTGAATAGTACCAATCCCTTCCTTTGATGCTGCTCAGAACTTACCTGAGCAGCAGCAAAGTAAAACTAACTCAATTATTGTTAGTTTTGCTAATGCCCACCTAACAGAGTACTGGGCCCTGGAAGGCATGCTTGTGTCCCATGCACCTGTTACTGCCCTTTGAAACTCCAAACTGTGGTTGTAAGCTGTATGTCTGCTCCTAGTCATGTGTTCTACAGGAATTTACATAGAAAGCTTCCTGTCTCTTTAGGCAACTGAGTACCGGGGGAGGAGGGGCGGGGGGGGGAGGGCAGGAGGAAGAGAACCTCTGCAGCTATCAGTTAGAAGGCCAGAGTGGGAGATAGCTGCCAGTGCTGACTGTAGCAGAAAGACTCAGCTGAAGCAGACTGTTAAGCTCTGGGAGAAGAGCTGTAAGGACCAGGAAATCTTGGTGATAAGGACTAAGGCAAAAAATAATTAAAATCTTAAATGCAACTTAACACTCAAGCCTTATCCTAAGTCAGTCCTTACTGCAGATTCAATGAAATATTCTTCACTTCCTGCTGCTTTCAATGATGTATGTCTAATTTGGGTATCTGTTTGTAGAGCACTTTGGAGAAAACAAAAAATATTTTTATAAGCAGTAACCATGTTCTCAGATCCTTATCTGCTCTATCTCCAGCCACAACAGGAAGAGTAAAAAATTAAGTTTCATCCTTAACTTTAAATGTAAGATCTATTTAGATGAAAGATGCTATATGTAAATAAAAAAAGTCACTAATTTCTTTAGAGCAGTGGCTCTGAACCAGGGGTATGCGTACCACTGGGGGACAGAGATCTTCTAGGGGGTATATCAACTCCTCTAGATATTAGCCTAGTTTTATAACAGGCAACATGAAAAGCACTAGCAAAGTCAGTACAAACTAAAATTTCATACAGTTATAACTTGTTTATACTGTTATATATACTATATTAGTGTTTCTCAACCTGTGGGGGGGGGGGGGTCGTGATTTATTTTACAATTATAGAGAAAGTAATTAAAAATGAGAAAAGTAAGTAATTTTCCAGTAATATTGTGCTAAAACACCTTTGTATTTTTTAGGCTGATTTTGTAAGCAAGTTTGCAAGTGAAGTGAAACTTGTGGTATGCAAGACAAATCAGCCTCCTGAAAGGGGTACAGTAGTGTGAAAAGTTTGAGAACTACTGCTTTAGAGTAATTCTATGTTGCATCGAAGTGAGTGAGTTATATTACACAACATGCAGGACACAGTTTGTAAAAAGTTTTTAAAGAGGTGACAGTGTACGTGGCCCAAAATGAATGGACATAACATTCTCCTTGCCCTAAATATACCTTGAAATCCAAATAAAAATATTATTCAAGACCCCTATTGGGAAAATGGGGTGAATGAAATGGAAGGAATCTAGATTACTCAGAAGATTATACTGAGGGCAATTTTTTATTTCTATTTAGTCAGCAATTTGAATCCAGGTCAGCTTGGTAGTATCCAAGAATTGATATCATAAAATGGCTATTTGGTTGGCCAGCATGAAATGAGTTAGACTTCCATCCAGTTGTCCACACCACAGCTAAAGCCCCGAGTCTCAAAAAGGGTTAGAATTGAACAGAGAAAGAGCCTTAGCTACTGTGGCATGGTTAACAGTAGTTCTCCGGAACAGACACCGCGGCACATTAGTAGGCCAACACAGGGAAGTGTACCAACTTGTGATGTACCAGTTCTGCAGAGAAAAGTTATCTGCAGGAGTCAGTCTCACACCGTGCACGAGTGCTAGCTTTCATTTTAAAAACAAATTTAAAACCCCACATGTAGTGGAAGGTTTTTGGTCTTGCATTCATACGGCTTCTTTTCTAAAATAAACAGAAGCCATGTGAAGTTGAGACATACGAAAGTCTGATTAGTTTGGGTTGGTTTTTTTGTTTGTAAAAAGAGGAGAGAAGCCAAAACTCACTTGTTTTGCCCCTTAAATATATTTAAAAAATTGTTTTAAAAAAAAAATGAAGTTCGGGACTTTTCCCCTCCCCGAAAACAAACTTGCATCAGTGGTTTTGGTAACAAACTTCCCTGCCCCTCAACTCTACCCAGCCACCCTCCAAATTACATGTTCAGTGGTCTATTATTGTACAGATGCATTGACAAACTTGTAGATTGTGGAGTGTCTTAAAAAAGCAGCCAGAGCTTTTGAAAGAAGCAGTTTTTGGTACAGAGCCAACTGCAACTGAAGATTTCATCCTCTGAAGCTGAAGACAGACTCATTTCCAGACTTCAGGGCCTCCCAAAGGTGTTTCTGTTCTGATGCAAGATAAGTGTTGCAAATGATCTTAAAGTGCCAGGCAACTCCCCAACAGATGCTATTACCCCACCTTCTGTTCTCTGAAACAGAAATCTCCAATGGCAGGACACCTGCTTGTGTGCTTTAAAGTGCTAGATTAGAAGCCCTATGAGTAAGGGCAGGGTGTATGCATATTCTCTAATCTCTTCAAACTAAGTTTGTTTTTTGAGGGGTAGGACAGCAAAAAGCTCAGAGAAAGACCAAGGCTAAGAGCTTTCAGACCTAGTCTGAACTCCTTAGTATCAGTGCCCCAGAAGTGGAGGGAGAGTATGGACTGGGTACAGGTTCCCAACCTCAGCAATGCAGACAGCCCTCCTGCATTCCAAGATCTGCCCCACAGATATTTCAAGATAGTCTAATAACCAGCTAGAAGAATCTCCACCTTTCAAAATCCCTCATTTTGTTGCCTCTAAACAAGTTCTTTCACCCTGAATCTTGGCAGTGGGGATTTTTGGGCCAGCTCCAATTCTTTTGACTTAACTGAACAATTACAAAGGACCTCCGAATCCTCCTAACTCTTCAGTACAACTGCTAAACGTCATTTGGTAGGAACGCCTGCCAAATGAGTTAAATTTCTTGGTTGTAAATCAGGTCCCAGGCCCAGCTCAAGATGTGTTCTCTGAAGAATGGTGTTATACATGGTTCCTGATCTCCTTTAACATATGGATTGGGAACGTGACAGAATACACGCTTATGGAAGCATAATTCTTTCATGTCATAACTTTTGAATGATCTTGAGAGCATACCTGGATTTCCTCCAGTATATTAACAGAATGTCTTGTATATTTCTTTTTTGTAATGAACGATTCTATAGGGCTATTCCATGTGAGTGCAGGGAATACAGGATTTCCCTAACTCCACACCTTGTTTAAATAAATGCCTGTCGAAGCGAAAGTTGCATTTTCTCTCAATTAGTGCAAGGCTTGCTTGGAGGACATTAAAAAAATATCCAAGTGAATAGTACAAAGATCACTTCTGTAATATGGTTCTCTTGGTGACTCTGACCTAAGAATGTAACACTGAAAAATGACAGTGGTATTCAGAGTACTCCAGGAGTTGAAACTGGACCTGGGATTGAGGATTTCTGTGTTCTTGCTCCTCCTCCCCCTCAATACACTGTTAAAAGTATCCTGCAGAATTATTCAGAGTAATCATTTCTGAGCTCGTGTCAGCAGCAGCCTTTCAAAAGTGGTTAGGATTATAAATTGCTGCCTTGGAAAATGCTACTGTGAGGGAATAGTTATTTTCATCTGCAGGTAGGAATACTATAAAAATGAAGGGGAGTTGGAGATGCACGCACTGAAACAAGGAGAGTTAAAGAGGCCATGTATGCAAATAGACAAGAATAAAGTCAAAGCCCTAGAACAGTTATATTTTTGATTCCTTATACATAATTCCAGTTGTGAGACT